ATCTTCACCCCACCCCAATCCCTTTTACCCCTTAAACTTATTATGGAGTTTACAGGCTGGAGTTACAGGCGGTTGAGGCCTGCCTGAGATGGTTGCTGGGAATCACCCTTGGGTCCTCTGCAAGAGCAGCGTTCACTTTTAACCACTGAGTCTCAGGTAACCCAGGCTGGCTTCAAGCTCTCTCTACGGAGGAGGATGACCTTGATTTTATGATCCTCCTTTCCCCTCCTCTCCAGGGCTGGGATTACAGGCATAAACTGGCGAGCGCCACCACACACTGTTTTTCTGAGGCGCTGGGATGGAATCCAGGGCTCTGAGCACACAAGGCACACAACTTATCAACCAAGCTACACCCACAGCCTCTCGGACCCTCCTTCTTCCAGAAGATTAGCCACGAGGGCTGGAGGGATGGCTCAGTGGTTAGGAGCATTTGCTGTTCTGGCAGAGGGCGTGGGTTGGGTTCCCAGCAACCACGTGGTCACTCTAATTCCAGGGGATTTGTGGCCTTTTGTGATTCCCATAGGCACCAGGCACACATGTGGTGTGCATACATACATACATACATACATACATGCAGCAGAACACGCATACACATAAAATTTAAAACATCTTTTTAAAAAACATTGTAATCATCTTTCTTTCACAACTTGATTATTTGTGTGCGTGCATGCGTGTGAATGCGTACGGAAGTCGGAGGACAACTTTGCGGACTAGATTTTCTCCTTCCAGATTTACATGGGTTCTGGGGGAATCAAACTCAGCTCTCCAGGGTTTCAAAGGGATCACGCGGTTTTTTAAGTTTTGTTTCTTCGGTTTTGGGCTGGGCTCTCACTACGTAGCCGTGGCTGGCCTGGAGCTCTCTTTCTGTAGACCAAGCTGACTGCCAACTCGAAAGAAAGCCGCCTGGCTCTGCTTCTCAGGTTTGGCAGGAAGCAAGTACCTTTTGCTGCAGGACCATCTTGCCGATGGCTGTTCTTCCAAAGGTCCCAAATTCAAATCCCAACAACCACATGGTGGCTCATAGCCATCTTCAGTGAGATCTGGTGCCCTCTTCTGGTGCACGGGCACACATGCAGGCTGTATAGATAATAAATAAATCTTAGAAGAAAAAGAACTACAGTTGGTGCCTTGATAAACATTCATACAGCAGGTGTTTTTTGTGTACCTGCTACCTCTTTAGACGGTTCCAGACGTCCATGGATTCCCTGACCCTTTGGGAATCTCATTTTTGAAGTATTTAATTCATTCACACTTTTCTCTGGAAATTCCCCGTGTGCACGAAGGTTATGCTTCTGCTCTGTGGGAGCGCTCCTCCTTCCAGCTCTACAGAAGTCTGGTCCACCCTTGTGGGCCCTCAAGACTGCCGAGTTCCGCTTTCCAGCTGCGCAGGGGCCAACGCTAGGGGGCGCCACGGCATCGACTACGGCGCTCAAGTTTGCGATTGTGCTCCTGTGCCTTTTCGGGTAGAGAATACCTAGTTCTCTCTTAGAGGAATTTAAGAATTGAGATTCGAAGATTGAGGTCAACGCGTGGCTTGAACTGAGCCCTAGAAAGTGGCTGTGTTTGACTCGTGGGCACTTTTTCAGTTCCTTGGGCAGGAATCGCTCCCAACACTTGAGGCCAGGGAATTACCAAACTGGTGGTTGAGCAAAGAGAGGGGGGGAGGAGGGGGCCTGTCCATGACTCAGGCAGGCGGTGTGAAGGAAAACAAGGGAACAAGTGAACCACAGAGGGATTTTGAGGGAACTGTATGGTATGAGTCTCGAAGGGGCTCAGTACAAAGCGCATCTTTGAGAAATTATGTCACTTTCGTTATTGTTTCATGTCCTGGGAACATGAAAGTCCCCTTCTTAGGAGCTACAGCTGTGTAAACGAGTTGACATTCATACCCTCTTATTAGAAGACTTTTGTTTTTTTTTTTAAGTTATGTGCCTGGGTGTCGGTATGTGCCCGTGTTCGGTGCCTGTGGAGGACAGAAGGCACGTTGGATCCCTGGGGCTGGAGTTACAGGTGGCTGTGAGCTGCCGGGCAGAAAGGACAAGCTGCTTGGCAGACAGGTGACGAGAGCAGTCACGTGGCAGTCTGGTGCCCTCAGGAACTGCATGGAGGTTGGTTCTTTTCTCCAGAGAGAAAGGAGAGGCAGACCAAGCTAGACTAAGAAGGTGCTGGGACTAGGGACAAGAGCATACATATCCCAGTCCTCGGGGTGAGGAATCCTCTTTACTGCCGCTTTCTTCCCCTGAGCTCAGGTCCCGTTTGTACTAGAGATTATGAACTACCTACATGAGATCTGGTGCCCTCTTCTGGTGCTTATCTGGTGACGTCAGATAAGCCTGGATTCAAATTCTGCCCTTTCTGCTCATGGCTCAGGTGACTCGGAGCATGTGTAAGCCGGTAAGCCTGCTAGGTATCAGCTGTGGGAACAATGATTATCACAACAGCTAAACGCTGCATTGCAGGGTATCAGCTCCTCAGCTTGATGCCCCTGGGAGGGAAGGTACTCTCAGTCCACCTGTGAGAGAAGAGACTGGCAGCCACAGAAATGAAGCCACTTACCTGAGGCAGACAGCAAAGACAGGATTCAAGCCCAGCCGGTCTGTGCCTCTGGACACTGACCTGCTCTCCCACAAAGCCCTAACCAGAACAAAACCCTTTCTCTTTTCTAACAGAATTTACACGGTAGTGGAAGAGCAAACAGTAAATGGGAGGCAAATAAGACAGACCTTTATCCCAGCAGAGGCAGGCAGATCTCTTGTGAGTTTCAGGCCATCCAGGGCTACACAGTAAGACCCTTTCTCAAAAAGAAAGAGAGAGAGAGAGAGAAGAAAGAAAGAAAGAAAGAAAGAAAGAAAGAAAGAAAGAAAGAAAG